TTAATAATAATAGAAGGGATTCTAAGTTGACTATTTTCTAGTTCTATTCATACTCTTGAGTTCAACGTCTTGCTTTCGTCTTTTTGTAAAAGAAATATATTATTTCGTTTTGCTATGAATAAATGGTATTCAATTTATCATTATTAAAAAATGTAGCTACAAATTTAAGAAAAATAAATCTTAATCTACGATTTTATAAGTTTATAATCATATTCACTTATAATAATGTAATTAATATGTAAAATGGCTCAAAAACACATTTCAAAACCGGTCCAGGGAAACCCATTCCCGCATGGAATATGGAAAAATTCACACATAGCCAGGGAAAAAATAATAATTCTTGAAATAGACATGATAAATACTAGATATTATACGAATATAAAACAAATTTACTTACTCCCATAATTTCTCGTTTTTTAGTAACTAAAATACTTCAACAGTTATTAACACGGAAAGTGCTACATGTACATAATTGTCTACATAATGGTGTCCATAATTACACGTGGTACTAGATCTAATATTTAATTTAAATTTCACACTCGCATATCAACAACCGGACGATTGTCACATCACATTATGAACACCATTATGTGCAATTATCATGTACAAGTAGAATTTTCCTATTAACACACCCACAATTAATGACATCCCGAATTACTAAATATTTTTACCCAAATTAAATTGCTAAAATTATTGAAATTTCACGATTAACCTATTTTAAGTAACTGAACATAAATAAAACAGTCAATCAACCACTATCATATTGATTAAAACCCCTAGAAATCTGCCACATTTAACCCCAATGAATCAAAACAACTGCAATTGATAAACAATGCAGAATTATTTTTATGAATCTTAAGACGAAATTACTCATATTTTATTTATTTTGTTTTGAAACTTTGTGTAGTAATAGTAGCAAGTTTTTTTTTTTTTTTTTTTTTTTTGCTATTGATATTTTTAATTTCAAATTCTTAATTTTTCCATTTGACCACATATGTGAACATGAAATTTGTGAAAAATCCCGTGACAATCACATAACATGTCAGTGAAACTTGTTACGATTTTTCTTTCCACTGTATATGAGGAATGCAATCATTTGAACTTCTATGTCCACTTGAACTACATAATTTGGATCCTATCTATGCGGGTTTCCCAACAGCACCAATAAGAAGTAAAATACAAATAAGAGTTATGGCATTCAATCTCATTGTCGGACTATTCTACATGTACATAGACTTGTACATCCTCGGCATTGGCCGAGGCGCCTGCCGCGTCGGGGCCCATCGGCGCCTCGGCCAATGGTGAAGTGTTGGGTGTCCATTATGGACACTCGGATGTACAAGCCTATGTACATCTAGCAAATTCCTTAGTCATATATGATTATTATCATTGCTATCCATGTGATGATATCATAGTTTGTTATGGCATTGTGCTTTTAATATTTTTGATCCAATTTTGTGTTGAGTTGCACATGTGATTATTGATATGTAATAAGATGAGTGAAACTGCACATTTTTTTTAGACTATAGCTTGTTACGAATTCTTAATGATGATATGTTACGTGGCTTCTAACTTGTTGCAACTTATTTATCAAATTTGAAGTGCAATGTCATACATTGAAATAATGTATTGTATGCTATTTACTAAGCTTCTTTGACTTCAATAATATGTTATAAAATGTGTAAAGTTGCATATTACAAATGATATTTGTTTCATAATATATATGACATTATTTGTTATGAAGAAAGACATTGCTTTAGACAAATTTTGCCTTATTTTGATTGATATTCTACTTTACAAGCAGAGAATACTTACATGATTGTGAACATTCCGCAACAACAATGCAACTGAAAATATAATTGGTACGCAAGATTCGCAGTAAAATGTATAATGAACTAACTAAATCTCGGTTCAACGTGGAAGTAAAAAATTGATCCGAGATTGACTAATAATGTCTTAAAGAACCATATTTTATGGAATTATGCCAACACATTAACGAACAACATAATGCATGTAGACTTCGCAAACAAACATATATTAACACCAAACACAAAAATTTTCTCCCCAGTCAAAATTGCAAAGTGAAGAACATAATTGGGCTGCTAAGGAATGGAGAAAAACATAAAAATAGTTGGGATCATCTTTAAAAAATATCTACAGATGCAAAAATAATTTAAAATACTCTGATAAATATGTTGAAAAAGATTGGCAAATAATAGTGCCACCGTAATTTATATTTGGGCAGAGTAACGACGTTTGAATGGTTTTGAATGGTCGAGGCAAGAGTTCGACTCTTTTTCCTTAAAACGATAATGCCCTGCACTGGTACTGATAGTATTGTAGCACTCGTTTCCCAAGATACAATGACCTCATCTTGTAATAGTAGTACTCCAAATTACAAGACCCAACGAACCCGTAAAGTTTAGATCTCTCCACACACACTGAATGACTGAAATGCACGAAAAGTAATTTTCGAGGACTAAATTATAAAAGCATAAATTATGCAGGGACAAAAGAATAATTTTGGGAGAGTAGAAAATCAATTCTGATTTTGAAATAAATAAAAATCGGGGTATGGGGCCTATTTATAAATGTTGAAAGGTTGTGTCCCAACAGACACAACTGTCGAAAAGTTGTGTCCAAAAGACACAAACAGTTTGGACAGTCAACTGTCACAACTCGCCAAATTCGAGAAGTACCGCACCACGTGTCACACACAGAAAATTCGGGGAAGAAAAAATTTATAACATAAAATATATTATTATTATTATAATAATAAAATAATATAATTTAATGTTATTTTACCAAAAAATATATATCAGCTTGGCACAAGCCCAAGTCCATGACCCACGACTCGTGACCGTGCCGAGCCGAGCCGGCCGGAAGGCAGCGCGCGCGTGTGGATTTTGGCTTAACCTACTAGTATGTTGGTTCTCTCCTCCTCAAAAACTATTGATACCCCTTGGGGCTCAAACCCAAGTCCCAAACTTGAGCTATATAAAGTGGTTTATATTCTTCTAATTTTCCTATGCGGGATTGGTATTTTTTAATTTCCCACCTATTTTATTTCAACTTCAAGTGGGCATTTTTTGACCTTAATTTCTCATCCACCCTAAATTGGTTTTGAGAAAATAAATATACCATATTAATCTACTCATGGAGTAGAACACATTCGGTCAAAAAAATCTTATTTCCAATTAACAGGACCCACTAAATAAATTGGTCAAAAATTGGTCAAACCAACTAATTAAATCCAATTTTCCAACAATCCCCCACATGAATGGAAATTAATGCAGTAGACTATGCAGACCCTATAGAAAGATCAGGCGGAATGTTATCGTATCTCGATAGGTACCTTATGGGTTTGAACCTTCCGTAGTAGAATACTATCGGATTTACTTGACTAATCAGTGAACGCGGTGTCTTGAACTGTCAGCCGTTTTTGTAAACCAAAACAATAGTATCAACACAATAACCTTCCTAACATTTTCGAGTTCTCACTGTTGTGTTCATTTTGGCCCTGAACAACTCTTGGACTTCATAAGTGGTTTAGAGAATTCAAGCCTTTGAAATATTCTCATAGAAACGGCCACACTTCACACTTGTATAGGTGATCTCTTATTAAGAGTACCTGCCATACTCCACTTAGGTAGTCCAAGATATAAGAATCATTAAAAGTATAACTTAATCTAAAACTTTCTGCAGATAGCACTTCCTTATCATAGGAATGGGTAGGAGTTAACTCCGAAGTGCTTATTGAATCTTCATAACTTAGTTGTCCCATTGAACCAAGATTTTGGGATCTCCAGTCAGCAATGTTGGGTTACCATTACAAAGATTATTATGTAGTAGGCTTTAAACTCATTCCCCTTGATAGGCAGTATACTTGATCTCTTGGTAAGCCTTTGGTAAGTGGATTTGCTAAATTTTCTCTAGACTTTACATAATCTATGGAAATAACACCATTTGAGATCAACTGTTTAACTGTATTATGTATTCGACGTATATGTCGAAACTTACCATTTTATACATACTATTTGTACGAAGGTTTATGACATTTCCATACCTCATAAGGAGCTTCGTTCCTACCTTTGTGTGGTACTTTATTTAGAATGTGGTTAGCTGAGAGAATTGCTTCCCCCCACAAATTCTGTGGTAAACCAGAACTAACCAACATAGCATTCATCATCTCTTTTAGAGTACGATTTTTGCGTTCAATAAGGAGCTGTAGTTTGATGAATAATCCCAGAATTTGAACAAAATTTATCAAACGGTGCTCCATATTCCCCACCTCTATCACTACGAACAATTTTTATTCGTTTGCTTAGTTGATTCTCAACCTCATTCTTGTACTGTTTAAATGCTTCTAAAGTCTCATCTTTACTCCTTAGCAAAAAGACATAACAATACATTGTGCAATTATCTATAAAAGTAATAAAATACTTTTTACCTCCTTTAGTTTGCACAAACTTTAAATCACAAATATCACTGTGAATTAGTTCTAGAGAATTCGAGTTCCTTTCAACTGAATGAAACGGTGTTTTCGCTAATTTAACCTCTACACATGTTTCGCATCGATGATTTTGATCAAAGGACATAGAAGGCAATAAATCTAAAATTACTAATCTTCGTAATGTATTAACATTTACATGTCTTAACCTATCATGCCATAAGTTAGAGGACTCAATCAAATAAGTAGAAGATTTATTTTTATTAATATCAAAATTAAGGAGTACAGGCATTACATTTAATTTGAATAGCCCATTGGCTAAGTACTCTTTGCCTACAAACATGCCATTTTTGGTGAGTACAAATTTGTCAGATTCAAATACCAGCTTAAACCCATTTTTGCTTAACAGAGCTCCGGATACCAAGTTTTTACGAATATCGGGAACATGCAGCACATCGACGAGTGTTACTTCTTTCCCTGATGTCATCTTCAGCACTATTTTACCTAGACTAATAACTTTTGATGTTGCTGAGTTGCCCATGAAAAGTTGTCATCCATTGATAGGAGTGTAAGATGAAAACATCTTCTTATCCGCACAAACGTGACGAGTAGCGCCAGTATCAACGAACCATTCTCTCGGATTATCAACCATGTTTGCTTCAAATACAATAGCCGAGAGCATTAGTTCAGACACTCCGTTAGACAGTCTGTCTTCTTCAGTCAAGTGCACTTCGTCCTTTTTGTTTTGCTTTTTCTGCCGACAATCTTTTGCAATATGACCAGGTTTACCGCAGTCATTGCAATCTTCTTTGAATTTCTTAGCCTTGCTCTTTTGCTTGCTATTATTCGGGTGCTTCCTTTTCTGGCTAGTATTAGCTTCACCAAGTTGACTTTAGCCTCAATTTGCTGTTTTCCAGACTTCTTTTCAACATTTCGATTGTTTTCCTCAATTCTTAATCTAACAATCAAATCTTCAAGTCCCATTTCCTTGCGTTTATGTTTCAGGTAGTTCTTGAAATCTTTCCACATTGGTGGTAATTTTTCGATAATTGCAGCTACCTGAAATGGTTCACAGAGTTTCATGTCTTCTACATGTATATCGTGCAAGATAAGTTGTATCTCTTGGACTTAAGTCATTACTGTTTTAGAATCTACCATTTTGAAGTCCAGGAATTTGCCTACAACGAATTTCTTCAATCCGGCATCTTCTGTTTTGTACTTCTTTTCCAATGACTCCCATAGTAATGTAGCCGTTTTGACGGAACAATATACGTTGTATAGTGTGTTGTCAAGGCAATTGAGGATATAATTTTTGCACAAGAAGTCACTATGACTCCAAGCATCGAATGCTGCTCGTTTTTGAGAATCTGTTTCCTTCTCCTCAACAGTTGGAACATCTTCTCTCAAGATTTTAACTAGATTCAGAGTCGTGAGATAGAATAACATTTTCTGTTGCCATCTCTTAAAATCCACTCCCGTGAATTTTTCCTGTTTCTCCCCGTGAGCATTGTTAGGGGGTACGACAGACGTATTAGGGGGTACAACAGACGTATTACTACTTGCCATTATCGTTTTAAGATTGTTGAAAAAGATTGGCAAATAATAGTGTCACTGTAATTTATATTTGAGCAGAGTAACGACGTTTGGATGATTTTGAAGGGTCGAGACAAGAGTTAGACTCTTTCTCCTTAAAACGATAATGCCCCGCACTGGTACTGACGGTATTACAACACTCGTTTTCCAAGATACAACGACCTCGTCTTGTAATAGTAGTACTCCAAATTACAAGACCCGACGAACCCGTAAAGTTTAGATCTCTCCACACACACACTGGATGACTGAAATGTACGAAAAGTAATTTTCGATGACTGAATTATAAAAGCAGAAATTATGCAGGGACAAAGGGATAATTTCGGGAGAGTAGAAAAACAATTCTGATTTTGGAATGAATAAAAATCGGGGTATGGGGGCCTATTTATAGATGTTAAAAAGTTGTGTCCCAATAGACATAACTGTCGAAAAGTTGTGTCCAAAAGACACAAACAGTTTAGACAGTCAACCGTCACTTTGACAGTCAACCGCCACAACCCGCTAAATTCTAGAAGTATCGCACCACGTGTCACACACAGAAAATTCGGGGAAGAAAAAATTAATAACATAAAATATTATTATTATAATAATAAAATAATATAATTTAATGTTATTTTACCAAAAAATATATATCAGCTTGGCCCAAGCCCAAGATCGTGCCGGCCGGTGGCGGCGGCACGCGTGTGTGGGCTTTGGCTTAATCTACTAGCATGTAGGTTCTCTCCCCCTCAAAGACTATTGGTACCCCTTGGGGCCAAAACCCAAGTCTCAAACTTGAGTTATATAAGGTGGTTTATATTTTTCTAGTTTTCCTATGTAGGATTGGTATTTTTCAATTTTTCACCTATTTTATTTCAACATCAAGTGAGCATCTTTTTGTTTTGAGAAAATAAATACACCATATTAATCTACTCATGGAGTAGAACACATTCGGCCAAAGAAATCTTATTTCTGATTAACGGGACCTACTAAATTAATTGGTCAAAAGTTGGTCAAACCAACTAATTAAACCCAATTTTCCAACAAAATATTTGTCTCAATTCATATTCGCATGCACAATGTTTAAACCTTTGATTCGAGGTTTTCAATAAAATTCATTATAAAAAATAATAAAAGTGTTTATCATTCAAAAATAAAATAAAATCAAACTAATTCAAGAACTAAAAAGAAAATATATAACAGTAATTTTCCCCAAATTCAAAATTCTCGATTCTATATTGCAGAATTTTTGGTGCAAAAATTAAAAAGACAAGGATTTGATGATGGTTGTGCTTCATATCGAAGAAGTATTAAAATGGACAGTTTTGGAAGTAATAAAGGTTTTCACAATTTAAGGGTGAAATGTGGGATTGGATTGGATTTATTTGTTTTTCATTTTTTCACTTTTGAAAAATAGTATTTTTGAAAGGCTAAACAACACAAAATTCTATACCTACTACCTTTGTCGTCGAAAACCTCCTACCTCTTGAAAGTAGCACAAAACGTCCATGTTGTCGTCACATTCCGTCTGTTTCATCATTAAATTCCAATAAATAGTAAAAAAAAAAAAAAAAAAAAAAAAAAAAAAAAAAAAAGAAGGAAAAAAGGAGAAAGGACGAAACCCCCCACCTATTAGACATGCTATGCAAACTCTCATTACCTATTGAAATTAGCAAAAAAGATCCATACTGTCTATTTTTTAATAAAAAAATTGAAAATGAGGAATACAATCTCCTATTTAAATAAACAAAAAGAAAATAATGAAAATAAAATTAAAAAACTAATTTCAACTATAGGTCCAATTTTTTTCAAATAAATGCAAACAAGTCCCAAAAAAATAATTAAAAAATAAAATAAAAATAAATAAATCTCCAAATAACCAAAGAAAAAAAATCTCTATCCCGACCCGTACTCCGTCTTCTTCCCAACAAAAAACAAAAAATAACTCACCATTCTTCTCCAATTCCACCCCAATCCCAATCAAACTCTTCATTCCATTCCCAAGAATAAAGAGGGTGTTTTTTCTCCGAGTAGTCATGATTGACAATGGTGTTTCTTCTCATGTCGACAACGGCTAATCATGGACTATAGCGTCCAATTAACTGTGAGTGGTTTTTACTTTTCTCTATTTCATGCCGTTTTACTGCAATTATTCAACCACCTACTTGAGTTAAGCAACAATCCCGTAAGCACATATATTAGGGTGACATTTTGATTTTTCTATTTGGAGATTTTTTTTAATTTTAATTACTTATTTGGGACTTGTTTGCATCTATTTGAAAAAAAAGGGACTATTCTTGAAATTAATTTTTTATTTTTGTTTTATTCAAATATGAGGGTATACTTGTTATTTTCAATCATTTTTATTGAGAAAATAGACCATAGTAATCTTTTTCACTAATTTCAACAGGCGAGTGAGGGTTTTGCCCCCATCCACCCCTTCCCCCTATGTATTGGGATTTAACGATTGGACGGATAGAATGTGACGTTAGCGTGGTATTCCACAAGAAATGTTTGAAACAACAATGTTATACACTATTTTCAAAGAGAGATGTTCCTTGCACAAGCCCAAAAACATGGCCAAGCCCCACCCTCCAATAGGGGGGCGCCACATGGCCCCCCTATTTTTGGACCTGTTCAAGGAGGTTTTTTTATTTTCAAAAGGTAAGGGAATTTTCGACAACTGGGACAATAGGTAGGGAGTTTTGTGTTATTTTGCCATTTCTGAATCTGAAATAATAAAAAAGGGAAAGTAAAAATAGAATTATAAATTTTAATTAGGGTGGTATGTGTAATTTCCACTGAGGAATGCGAAAACCCCAGTAACCAAACAGCCGTCAGAGGCCCGTGTACAAAATTAGGGTTTCTAATTTTACTCTGCTTCGTCTCCTATATAATTCAAAGAACTCTTACACTGTCGCCTGCTACGCCGCTCAAACCCAGTCCCCCTCCACGGCGAAGTGAGAGATTTCTGAGAGAATAATAATCCATCGGAAATGGTGACTTACAAGGTTTGTTCCTACTTGTAATATGCTTATGTGTTGCATAATTCTTTGCGCAATTGAAGAAATTGACTTTAAATTGTTGATAAATTGGATTGACTGGTTTTGTGTATGTTATACTGTGTGCAGTTCCATCAGTACCAGGTGGTGGGGAGAGCTCTGCCGACTGAAACAGATGAGCACCCTAAGATCTACCGAATGAAGCTGTGGGCTACGAATGAGGTTCGGGCCAAGTCCAAGTTTTGGTACGATCTCTGCCCTCTATTTCACATTCATATGCACACATGTTTTTGATTTGTTTAATTTTATTTTAGGGCTTATGCTATCAGACATTTCATTTTTCTGGGTTATTTTTGTTGATGAAGGTATTTTCTGAGAAAGCTTAAGAAAGTGAAGAAGAGCAATGGCCAGATGCTCGCTATCAACGAGGTATGTAAATTGCAAACGCCTAACTCTTTTTTGATGGATACCTTTAAATTGCATTATTTTTTAACCTAAAGCAATACATTTTAAGTCCAAGATGTAGATTTAGCTAAATTGAATTATTCTTTGGTGCTTGTGCTGTGTTTTTAGCCTGGTTGGTTGCTTTGTCGTATCACCTTTGGCTTTGCAGAACTATAAATATAGAAGTCTAATCTTGAAAACATTTTCGAGGATATTTGTTTGAAAATTGGATTTTGCTTGGGAGGATAATGTTATAACTGATTGAATATGAACTCAAAGTAATGATATCGATTGATCAAATGTAATGATTCAGTGTTTAGATACTTAATATAATGTTCTGGGATAGGGGAAATGGTTGCTGTAATTTTTCTATTGTCTGTCAACCACCTGAATAATACCTGATATGTTTTGAGCCTTAGTACGCTTGCCTGGAAATTGGTTTTATTATAATTTTTTTGAGACATAGACCTGTGAGTAGGTTGCTTTAGTGATTTTGGTTTCACAACTTCAAGGGACATTTATTTACCTGTAGGCGGGGTAGGAACTAAAACTTTTGACCTATTCAAGTGAATGACAGTATTATGATAAGGAAATTGTTTAAGAAGGACCAAGTTGTAAAGAAAATGAAAAAAGGCCTCATTATCTAACTTTATGTGAAACAGCCTATTTCTATATGATAATCTCGAATTTTCCTTGTCTTCTCCTATCTCTTTCATTCATGTGTCTCCGTACCACCCATCCATCTGCCCTGCCTGCCTCCCTATCCCTCACCCTCTTTTTTATACCCCTTTCAGATCCTTGCGCTTTTTCCTGTAGAATCTCAGCTCATCCCGTCCCCCCTTCCCTTGACCCTATTTGGGAGGGTGATGTTTTTACAGGGGCGGGAGAAATGAGTAGGCCTAAGCAGTTAAATGGGAGGGAGGGAGGGAGGCCTCCTTCAGGGGTGAAAATGGGGTAGGAGCAAAGAGACAAAGTTGTCAAAGGAAGTATTTTTTAGTAAGGCTGTATTGACATTGTTATTCAAACAGCCTTTTAATCCGTAAGATTGGTAAGTGTACATTTTGACCTGACCACTGTGAGAAGGCACCTGTGGAAACTCGCTTATGAGTTTGCATATCTTTCTCATACATGTTGCTGCAACTACCTCTTCAGTCATTGTAATAAGTTGTGTTAGAAGTGATGATTGCAAATAGTAGATACATATTGACCTTACTATTTTACTTGGTAGCTTTGCAATCCATATTCCACGCTTTCTCCTTCCCTTTATTCAAAAATCTAGTGTAGTGTTACAATACAAATATTAAGTCCTATCATTTGAATGCTAATCTTTACTATTGAGGTTTAGAGTTCGTTTGCACTTCTTCTAACATCTTATGGCTTGGCCCTGCACTTCCTAAGAATTATCTGATTTATTATTTTTCTGTTCATAGATTTTCGAGAAAAACCCGACGACCATCAAGAACTATGGCATATGGCTCCGTTACCAGAGTAGAACTGGTTATCACAACATGTACAAAGAGTACCGTGATACCACCTTGAACGGTGCTGTTGAACAAATGTATACCGAGATGGCTTCTCGTCATAGAGTTCGCCACCATTGCATTCAAATCATCAAGACAGCCACAATCCCAGCTAAGCTTTGCAAGAGGGAGAGCACCAAGCAGTTCCATAATTCAAAGATCAAGTTCCCCTTGGTGTTCAGGAAAGTGAGGCCACCAACCAGGAAGCTCAAAACTACATACAAGGCTACTAGACCTAACTTGTTTATGTAAACATGTTGGTCATTTGCTGGAGGGAAGAATTTCCTATTTTCTGCAATTTTTTTGCTTTAATATTGAGGGAAGAGAAAGTCTGCCTGCGCTTGATGGATATTTTCATTTTGATTACTAGGATATTAAACTTGCGTTTGACGGTTATCGAAATATTGTTTGTCAACCTTTTGGCCTATAGACTGCTTTCTAGTTGATTTTATCGTTCCTTCAATGTCTGGTATATCTATCATCCATGTTTTATCTACATTTTGAGACATCGGATTCTTCGAGTTCACTGTATTATTTGTTCCATGCGTATCTTGTTATCAATGTCAATGGCCTGCTTTTCTTGTTCATTTTTTGCTAGCATCCCAACTTGGGAGAGAGCTCGTTCTTGCTCCTGGGATGATTTTCTCTAATTTGCTTTGAAGTTCTGTGCTCTCTTTTGGCACATAATTAACTTGTGCGTCATGTCTCGTACAAATGATTTCATAACCTAGTCGTATTGTCTCTAGCTAGAGGACAAGAAGTGATTATTCCTTTTAAACCGCATTAATTATTTTTTTATTTAAAGATAAGCCATTTCTTGTCTCAAGAAAGGCCATTTTCCTGTGATGGTTAAGATAATGCATCAAAGTGGTGGGATTTTGATTGGCAAGGATTGAATTTGGTGAATGATTATGAGAGAATTTAGACGAGATTAGAAAAATAACAAAAAGAAAGCAGCAGGGGTTCGACTTTAGTTTATTTTTAAAATAAAGGATTTTTAAGATTGTGTTATTCTTTTTTTATACAATGTTGAACCATTTCATATGAAATTCATAGTATTTTAAAGACTAATGTTATGTAGTTCCTATAGGGTTGTAACTTCAATTTAAATGGCACTAGATCAATTAATGTCACATTAAGGTTATCTAAACTAAATTTGCAACTCCAATAAAATTAAATAGCATTACTTTATTTTAAATTCTCAGTGACAATCAAATTTAAGATTATATCAAATTAATCAAAGTTTCTACTTTTATTGAGAAAAGGACAGCTGCCCCTTCAACAGGGAGGCGCCATGTTGGCACCCTATTTTTCCCTGTGTCTCCAACCCTGGTCGGCTAACTTTTATTAGATGATGAAGTCATTCAAGTCAATGATGAGTGTGAAGAATTCACGACTATTGCCCAAAACACTTGGGACAGCTATCAATGGTGCATTACATAATTATGATGTTTGACAATATGGAGTTCATTCGAGAACGCGGCAAGATAGACAATCTTTTAATATATTTTAAATTCAACAATGAAGTAAATAGAATGATAAAATATATTTTATGTAGCCAATTTCAAATGTATTGAAAGTAAGGTATAATTTTCTTTGAATGATACTATGCAACCCCACTGGGTTATAACTCCAATCTAGGCGACGTTTGATAATAGGTTGAATAAAATGTAAAATTAAATTACTTATTTAATTTAATTTATCATTTAATACCACATTAACGCTACCTAAATTGGATTATAATCTCAGTGGGTTAAATAGCATTACTCTTTTTTGTTGTTGCATTTATCCTTTTTCATGCAATAGCATTTTTTTGAATTAATTTGGTGCACTTAATTATGATTCTTCACACTAACTCACAAGTGACAAGCAAACATGTCTGAGAGCTGTATGGATTGACAGACATTCTCGTACAAGCTTCTAATTTTATAAATTATTCAAGTAATTTCATTTTATTAAAAAAAAAAAGAAAAAAGAAAAAAAGAATAGATTTCACCCACTACTTTGCAAGATCACTTACTTTTGCCTAGATAACAAATGATGAGAGGTCAGTGCTCAAAATGATTGTAAATATTGGTGTCACACTCACATAAACTCCCATTAATAATAGTATTCATCACTTAGCTAAAATTAATCCACTTCTTTATTCAAAAAGATAATCAGAAATGGTAATTAAGATAATCAAAGTTGTCTATTATCTATAATTACCACATAGATTAAAAATGTTAATTGATTTTCTAGTAAAGCAATGAATATCATAAAGTAGACAATCTTGAAAAAGGCAAAAGAGAGAATGTAAAGGAGATATACAAAGAAAACCCTTTGGTTTTTCATCCTCTCTTCCGATAAGAACAGCATTACATATCTATTAATCAATTGCGCATTTTTGTTCAGATTTCTGTGTTGAAGTTGAAGTTGAAGTTGAAGATTTTCTTGGAGAGTAAATACTGAATGATGCATATAATTCAAAAGATTGTCTCTATGAGTATTTATTTTAGTGCTGTGCTGCTCTTTCTTGGAGATTTTTCTGAATGCTCATCTGATGAACGGAAGAAATCTGGCAGTCTTCACAATAGCAGTAAACATGTAAGATGATTTCACATTTATTGTAATTGATTCAGAAGTTCATTTCATTTTAGTTTTGATGGTGACAAAGGTACACAAAAAACTGTGAGTGGAAGTAGCTTTCAAATTGAGATGAATTACTATAAAATCTGCATGTGGTTTGCTCATTTTTCTGATTGCTTTTCTAATTTTTTTTCTCTAAAAGGTAGCTTGATTTGTAACAACTTGTGCAGGTAAATTCTCAAAAGACATTGGATATTACACTCCATGGAATTCTTTTATGGGCTTCAATGGGATTCTTAATGCCTCTTGGAGTACTAACAATAAGATTGTCCAGTACAGAGGAACACCACCGGACGAGGCGGAAAATCTTGTTTTATGTTCATGCAATTTTGCAGGTAGATAGATCATCATTCTGGTTTTGTGCTCTGTAATCAGCAAATAAAAAGAAAAAAGAAAAAAATATATAAATGTAAAACATAAATCTTTTGATGTTATAGTTTAACATTTTTCTCCTTTCTGCTGCATAATCATGATGATGCACTTTCATAATGGTGTGGGAATTAAAGTTGAAAGGCAAACAAAACTGAGCCCACAGTTAGGTGCGAGCATAACAAAGCCATTTGAACATGATTACTATGAAGTTATGGGAAGAAAAGAGAAGGGACTAGTTCTATCATTCTTGTTTTCGATCCGAAGATCCCGGGATTTAAACTTTATCGTTCGAACTTCAGTATCAAAGATCTTTTAGAAGCATGTATTCCTCTGACTGGATTTTATTCTTTTCTTTTGTTTTGTAATTTGAAGGTGCTGTCAGTGCTACTTGCAACAGTTGGAGCAGTTATTTCAGTATCAAAATTTGAGAATGCATTTAACAACAGTCATCAAAGAGTAGGATTAGCACTTTATGGTGCCATTTATGTTCAAGTTTTGATAGGATTCAGAAGACCTAAGAGGTACATATTTCTATCTTACAGGTCCTAATAGATTGATCTGAAAGAGATAGCACGGCCATTTTTACACCTCGAAATCGGGACTTTTTCTTGTGCAGGGGAACAAGAAGTAGAAGTTTATGGTACTTCTTGCATTGGATGCTTGGAACAACAATATGTTTGGTTGGAATTATAAATGTCTACACAGGATTACTTGCATACCATACGAGAACATCAAAGGGTACAAGCCTTTGGAGCATAATTTTCACAGCTCAAGTTTCTTTTATGGCAATTTTTTACCTTTTTCAAGATAAATGGGACTACTTGAAAAGGCAAGGGATGATACCAATGGATGCAACCTCGCAACCTCTGAATCAGACTCAAATGGATAATTTAAATGAGGCATGTAGAAAAAACAATGCACTTGGAACTCACTTTTCAAGGAGAAATGCACTCAATAAATTGTTTCAATTAACATGAATGGATTGCTAATCTATTCTTAACACTTCACCTTTTCGTACGATTTTCGATTTTTTTCTCTTTTGTGCAAAGTATTGAAGTGATGGATGGAACGAAATAGCTGATAAAGATTCATACAGAAAATTCCATAGTTATTAAGATTTCAGTGACGGCCCCTGACTATAGGCGGGGTAGACAATCGCCTAAAACTCCACTTTGGTGAGGACCCCAAATTATGTAAGGTTGATTGATACAAGAAAAAGAAAATTATATTTATAAAATTAGAATTATCAATATGCAACATAAGAAACTAATAAAAATTGAAAATACAAAAATCTTTAGAAAAAACATATAAATGGCATAAAACTTATCACTTACATTTATTTATCACATATAAATATATCACAAACATTACTCTCTATAAATAATTTGACCATTTGTCTTCTAAACATCCATTTTCTTTTCTTAACCAAACAAAAATGTCTTTTCGTCTCTTTAAATTTCATATCCAACAGTAACCTATCATAATTTTCTTCAATCCAACAAGAAATAAAATATCTCTCATTGAATTAAAATTTTTAAGATTCAATTTAACAGATTAGTCTAGTATCACTGCAATTATTACAGCCTTACAAGTTTTCAATTTCTTCTTTGTCTTCAAAACATATACTATAGAGTTTATAGATTGTTAATATTAATGCTTTGCTTTAATCTCTGATGGTGTTTTTAGATACTTGTTAAAGGTACTTTGAATTTAGCCCCCGTTTGAGCCCCATTATTTGTAAATTATAATGAGATGAATAGTATTTTTTTAAAAAATGAGTGGCTGAAAAGTTTTTAATTTACGTATAATATTATTTTATTAAAGATTGTGTGGTTAATAGTAGGAGAGAGAAAAATTTAATTTAATGTAATAAAAAATATTGGGGTTCAAATGGGGGCTTAATAATTCTTTGTATGTGTTAATACTTCTTATTCGTTAGTTAATTTAATATGAATTAATATACAATTAAAAGCTCATTTGTATTTTATCGTCATTTTTATTGTTTTGTTATACTATCTCTCGCAGTCAACGTTCTCCAATTTTGTACATAAATCATTCAAATGCATATTCAATTTTGTTTTAAATAGTTGTAGTGAAAAAATGATAAAAGAAACGAACAAACCCCTTTGTCATTGCATTATAATCCTATTTGTCAAACTTCACTCATAATTTGTATTGCATATTGAATTTTGACATTTTGTTATTTTCCTTTTCAAAATTTGATACTTAGTTGTCTGTATTAGATTCTTCAAAATTATATTAAAACTCTTTATAATAAGGTTTAAGTAAGAATGTGATGATTTTTCTTCAATAGGGCTTTGAATTTAAAACATAAAGCCCTCAAAATAGCAAGGCCAACCCTGTAAGATTTTAAATTAATTCTTGTTATCTATTCGGGTGATGGTCAAATCTTTAGATACATAACTCTAAATTGATCGTAATTTGGTTTATATTAGTGTAAAAAGATCTCACAAGTTTGGGATCATATCAGTATCATAATTAAATACCCCACGTCCATACTAGTGGCAATAATATCAAAATGAAAGTAAAACTTAAAAGTTAAAAAATATTGGGATTAATTTGCAACTGACTCTAAATGTTAAGGGCTACTTGTGCAATTTACTACACGCAAGGGCATTTTAGTTGAGCAGCCTGTGCATCGTCACTACAACAATTTGTTGTACTGCATCTGTGGTTTGTACTGACGCAAATAAATCTTCAACTCTCAGATTTCCCACCGAATAAACTGCAAAATTTTGATTAAATGGCTTCACAAGAGCATCATGTGCATGACCATCAACATGCTCATGAGCATGATCATCACCATCACCATCATACCCATGGGTGAGATTCTCGATCAAATCTGACACTTTTATGCAATTTTGAGTTTTAAAATTTGGTACTTGTTTCAAGCTATATTGAACTTCCTCTGGTGATAATGATGGTGTCGTTCGAAATGTAACAGGGATTCGGGAACAGGGTCATGGGTGGGCCCGGACGGGAGGGTGTACCATAGCCATGACGGACTGGCACCACACTCTCATGAGCCAATTTACTCCCCAGGCTACTTTAGCAGAAGGGCACCTCCGCTTATCAACAGAGATTTCAATGAAAGAGCCTTCACTATTGGTATTGGTGGTCCTGTTGGTACTGGGTATATTCCAAAATTCCATCTAGTCTCGCTTTTTGGCTTAGTTGCTCTCTACAAAATTTGCATAATTTTTACTGCTGAAGACGTAATTTAGATTAATAAGATTGTTCTTTTTAGCAGCATAAGTTTTTTAGACGAGTTTGAAGTCCCATCATTCTCTTATTTATGAAAAATTGTGCATGTATTATGCCTGTTACAAGGAAATTAATTTTGATCTACAGGCGAGGGGTATGTCTTCGTAACCGATTTAAGCTTTTAGATGAGCTGTTTCAACTGTAAGAACATTTGTACGGATATTGGTATGAGTGTAATCTGGAAATTGAGCTTTTGAGTATAATCTGAGTTTATCTTGTTTGCAATTTCTTGAATGTTTCGGTATATGCTTGCATTGTGTCTTTTGATGATTAGGTACATTTATGTATGTGTATTTCTAGCTAGATAGTATGTCTTTCTGTATATACATGTGTATACATATCTTACTTGTCCCTTTTTCTGTATTTGTATTATTGTGTGTGTGTGTGTGTGTGTATATATATAAAAGTCTTGAGGTGGATTGCAAATGCTAATGTTATTGATAGTACATTCTTAAGCTTGCTTGCAATTCATTTACTGTACCAGAATACAATGAAATCATTCAACCTAGTTCTGCATATATACCTTCACTATTCTGGTGAACAAAAATGTTGTGTTTCATATGCTTGTATCAACACAAGTTCATGACGTTTACTTATTTACTTTTTTAACTCTCTTTTATTAGACTGCACAATCTAAAGCGTTTCATTTTATTCCACTTTGTTTCAGATATATCTGTGCAAGTTAGTTTGAATTCATACCATTCTAATTGATTTATTTTGTTTTCATGGCAGAAAAACAGCTTTAATGCTAGCTTTATGTAAATTCCTGAGGGACAAGTACAGTCTTGCAGCTGTATGTATAGCTTCTACGTTCTATTCCTTTTTTATTAAAGAAATGAATTAGACGCCTTTCTGGATATTTTAATTTTAGAGATCCATAGCTTTGGATTAGGATTTGGACTCTGAAGGATCTTCATATTATATCTAGTGAGTACCAAGTTTTAACTCTCAAATTTCAACCCTCCATGCGAAAGGTTTTGGTTTAAATGTTGAGAGGAATCACCAATTCTTTAATCAAGAAAGTAAAAATTGCCAACTTTGAAGGATGTAAAGTAAGTAAAATTGTACTCTGAATTGCTTTGTTTTAAGCTAAAAGCTTTTAGTTTCAGTTCAATTTGCATATGCAAACAGATAATTTATCATTCATGGGCAATCCTTCACTGTTTTTCATGTCATAAACATTTTTGCATAATGTCCTTCCAATGATCTTTCCAATTTTCTTATAAACCTAGGCATGATGAGAATGTCTGGCTGTGCCTAAAAGTAGCTTAATACCTACTTTTCTGTATGTAGAGACATATTTTCAAAGATAAATAGGTTTTATGCTACTTCAAGGCACAGCTGAACATACCATGTCTAGCCGTCATTTTTCTTTCTGTTATATGAGAAGAATGTGTTCATCTTAAGTTACCTCCCTTTTTGTCAATCCCACCTTACATGAATAATGGCCAATGTTTTAGCTAGTATAGGCCTCTGACCGAATTGCATGAAAATTTTCATTCAGAACCTGAATTCTGATACTATTTAATTATTAATTTAGGTGACAAATGATATATTCACAAAAGAGGACGGTGAATTCTTGATAAAGCATGGAGCACTTCCTGAAGAAAGGATTCGTGCTGTAGAAACTGGTGGCTGCCCACATGCTGCTATTAGAGAAGATATCAGCATTAATCTTGGGCCTCTCGAGGAGCTCTCCAATCTGTACAAAGCAGACATACTTCTTTGTGAATCTGGAGGAGGTATTATGTGTCTTTTTACCTTGTTAAATCACACGTGATTGTCATTTAATTTAAAGAATGATTTAATATGTTTCTGAACATTGTGCATTCTATGAATCTTGGAGTTCTTTTTTAAACTTGATTCTATATAATAACTCGTACTGATGCAGACAATCTAGCTGCCAATTTCAGCAGAGAACTGGCCGACTATATAATCTATATAATTGATGTATCTGGTGGTGATAAAATTCCTCGAAAAGGAGGTCCAGGCATTACACAAGCTGACCTTCTTGTATGTGTTCTTCTCCTTCCTACCTCAGTTGTTGACTGGCCTTTCACACTAATCAATGTGTTACCCTGTGATTTCTAATATGAAATTTATCTAATAGTTGAAAGTTGCACTTTTAATTTCAGGTAATAAACAAAACTGACCTGGCAGCTGCAGTTGGAGCTGATCTACAGGTCATGGAACGTGATGCAGTTCGAATGAGGGATGGTGGTCCATTTGTTTTTGCGCAGGTTTTTAAAATTTTCTGTTTCTTGTATTCTTTATGGTATACATCCCTGAAGTTCATACCCCTGGTGATATTACATAATTCTGTTTTTCAAGGTTTGTCCTAGACTTGAATTAGTTATATAGTAGCATCAAACGGAATAAAAAGAACAAGATGAGACGTGGACATTAGTAAAGTTTCTCCGGGTGTAGGTTTGTTGTAGTTTCTGGTATTCCACCATCAGATGATGAGTGCAGCTCGTGTTTATGAGTTCCATATGCCTCTATACAGCTCTTGTTAGATGTGTAAAGTTCAAAAAAAATTAAGCAATTTTCGTTTTATATAAGAAAAATGGACTCTCCTTGTTTCATTTTTGGCATGCATTTGCAGTTTTTCTTCCCCGTTGGACTACTGTCACTATTCTTACCGAAACAATGTTATGTCCTTCATGGTAATGATGATTGAAAATATGCTTGTGCAGGTCAAGAATGGTGTTGGCGTGGCGGAGATAGTTAGCCACATTTTACAGGCTTGGGAAGTAGCAACAGCGAATAAGCGCCGTTGACTTGTTGTGCACTATGTTTTCCATATTATGTTAATAAGAATTGGCAAACTTGCTTAGCTTGTACTTTTTATGTTCTTTCCCGTTTCTCTGGAAATTCGAATGAAGATCTTTATATTAGCTTAACGAGAACTTTATATTCAGCCGGTTGTTGATTGGAAACAAGTCTTTTGTGTTGTGTGCATCAGCTTAAACTCCATACTCGTTACTATTCCACAGCAAATTCAATGAAGATTTCCGAGTTAAAATGGCAAAATTACACCCCTCCAAATTGAAAAAAGAAGGGGGAAAAAAGGTGTGTTTTTTATATTTTTGTCTAATGGGGTTTTGCTGATGTGACAAAATTTAACATCTAATGGTGCGGCATGGAATTGTCGCCTGTCACAATGAAAAAAAACTAGGAAAAAGCCTTAAGTACAAGGAATTTTTTACCAAATTCATACAGATGCTGACATGGCGAAACTTGATTCGCTTGTTTTTTTTATTTTTTTTCATCTTCCAATAATTACACGCCATATGTTGTTTGTCAAAATTATCTATTAAAAATTTCTGTACTTGTAACATGACACAAAAAACTAAATTATAAATCAATTCATTGCAGACACTGCTTTTGTAGTCTAAACTTTCTTTACAAATTACTAAATTTGATTTGCAACTTGAAATCAAATCATAGAAAAGCCTCAATTCACAAGGGAAAAAAGAGTCATTTTTCCCATTTACTTCGGGAGTAGAGGGGAGAACATGGCAATGAAACGCAAAAGAGTACAAGTTTCTATGAATTTCAAACTATTCAGTGAAGAACAGCATGGAATGACAACTTCAGTTGTGACTCAAATATTTTTAAGGACATAGTAGCAGAGAGAACGTGACAATAAAGCATGTTAATTAGCAAAAGGAAGCAAAACAGCTTGTATAAACCTCCACATACAAAGTTCCCTTTCAACCACCATTCACCTACGTCTATTGTCCGATAACACTATACTAACACTCATCTACAATACTCTAATGTACATCACCAGATCAGCAAATATTGCATAAGAAAATCCAATAAGAGATACTTCACACATTAGACAGTAACTGAAGCAATCATATAAGAAAAATCTATCAACCTTTAAGGCACAACAATTTTCCAGCAATCTCTTTACTTCAAATAATGTTTAAGCAGATAAAATTCTTCCAAATTATCTCATTTTTCAAATGTTGGAGAGAAACCAAATAAAAATATGAAACTTCACAGAATCCATAAAAACCTTTCAAGCCGAATCATTAATTTGGTTAAATAGTACTCCTTGTATTCTGCATAACTTGTGAACATAACTATCATCTATTTGCAACATAGTGCTTTACAGTTAATTATAGCAAACGGTACAGTACTTCAATCCAACAAAATTTTACACCTTTGTGACACCTCTATATTAAAGACAGAAGCTACTTCTTTCCTCATTGAACCATGACGAAAAGTACACATACTTTCATGTGTCCTTCCGTTCTAGTTGCTTTATCTCCTTTTCGCCAAAATTTTAGTCCATTTTGTGAGTAAAGAAAATAAACCGTCCCTCATCTGTAAACAAATTAGAGTAGGAAATCTACATGGAGACTTCTTTATCACTCTATAGTAGCTTACGCAAAAGTTCACAAGGCCTCAGGGATTCCTAGCTTTAGGAATGGTGCAAATAGGCATCACAGGACGTCTGTGTACCTTCACAATTAGCTATTGCCAGAGAATTACAGCTACAGTTTCCGAGACTAACCTCGAAACACCAACTACATTCAGGTGATAGGCTAGCAAAAATAACAGATATTTCTTTTGATTCAGACTCCAACAGTTTTAAAACAAGGCATTCGTTATCAGTTTCTGACAGATTAGGAAAACCCAATATTCAAATGGTTGCCTTTCCATTCTCTATTGCTTTCTTTCCTGTGACGCATTTGACATTAGTTAACATGTATACTTTCACAGAAAATAGAAACTTGTTAAGTAAGCCCAGTTTGGTGGGGATTAAAATCAGAATTTTAATAGATTTTGATAAAAGTTGATGAAATATGTGATTGAAAAGTTGTGAACCCCATAAAATATGTGATTAAAATTGATTGTTGACTTTGACTTAAACTAAAATCACCAAACAAGGGCTAAATGCTTTCATCATTTATGATTGTTACTCAAACATTGTATTTTTAAACTTACATTAATATCAGATATAGGAAAAGTTTTAGATTTCTGTAGGAAATCGTATTTTAATTAAACATTAAGAAGTAACAAGTATGGTCACTTCAATTCCAAATTCAACTTGACTCTCACCTTTCTTCTGACACTTGGCACCTCCCTCTAAGCCTCATTTTCTTAACGCACCTTGTGCTACGGCCTACATGTGCATGACAAGTACCCCACCCCAGAAAATTTTTGAATCCCAAATCTTGGGCACACCAGAGTATGGCTAGACAGAGCATATTCCATGAACAAGGGAATTCAATCTTATGGGGGAAACAATATATAAAAAAAAACTGCAATTTTAAACAATAAAAATTCCTCACATGACGGTCATTGCGCTCCTGCCACCTCTTGTCAAAGTAGGCTGATGGGCAAGCCCCCTCCCGTCGCAACGTGGGGGGCGTCAAAGGCTTTTGCCTCATTTTTCATTTAAATCAGAGAGTACAAAGTGCATATCAACTTACAATGCAACTCCACCAACTTTGAATGGCATAGTCATTAGCCATGTTCTATAAATATGAAATCTTTTCACATAGATGGAAGACCTTACCTAATGCACCTATGCATAATGCAAGATGCTGCTGACTTGAAATAAGAAATTATGATGCATTTAGCCCATTGCATGCAAGAATGACATATATGTGAAATTTATGGCACCCACACACATCCACACAATTTTTATCCTAGCCCAAGTATTTGATCATCTGCTCATAATCAGTCTTGAATTGCTAAGTAACACTATCATAGCACTTCACAATGCATGAAATTTTTTACATAAGCTGCCGCAGTCAAGGCTTTTGAAGTCACAAAGAAGTTCGATATCTAGCTCAACTAAACTATGTACAAGCGATATTCTATAGAAACTCAAAACATGTCTTTGATCGATGGAAAACAAGCCACAGTGCAAAAATGGATACAAACATCTACAAGCTCTAAGCTAAGGATGGACATGAAAAAAGGCATATATAAAACCGCTCAACATAAACCCCAAATGCCAAAGGCATTTATAATTAATGCCAAATATATAGAACAATAAAAATCATCTGCTTACTTAAGACCAAAGTTACGCTTAATTTAGTTCTTGTAATTCCATCTTCTTTGCATCTTCTCCAATGGGAGTAAACCCCTTGACAGACACTAGGCTCTCCACATAGTAGTCAGCCTGAAGCACCAACCAATTAAATTTCAGAATTCCAATTGTCTTGGTTTCTCTGGTTTCAACGTCATATAAGATCACTTCTCCTCTCCTCACGAGTACAAATTTTCCATTTACACTGCACAATAAACGATAAAACTCAACATCCAGTTCAAAGGTAAATTTCTTACTCCAAAGTTCCTTTCTGACACTATCATTTTCCATCGTCCATACTTGATATATTTTCTTCGGCTCTGGCATAACAAGTCCTGCCAAAGCAAAAGTTTCCTTCCAATTCATACAAAAAGCACCCCGCTCCCCAACTAATATTGCCGTGATGGGGACCATCTGTAGTAAAAGTTCAGGCAGAGGAACCAGCTGCAGTATCTCAGTACTCATGTCAAATGAAGCTACTAGAGGCTTCATGTTATTCCCATCCCTGACAATCCAATGGGCAAAACCCTTCAGTGTCACATCACTAACACGGCGTAGAGGGATAAAATTGCCATCAACATTAATCTCCCTCCAGGATTCTAAGTTGGCCGACCACACCTCAGCCCATGATTTCCCGTCCTCGCACTTAGAACCAATCCTTACTACCTTGTAATCATTAGCAACTGGATCCCAACCAAACCCACATGAAACACTACTTGGACCTCTATACTTACCAGGTGGGATTGTCTTGAATAGTCTGGTGGAAGGGTTCCATATTGAGATGATATCAGGTGTACTCCCGATTAAACAGAGCAATCCATTGATTGAGCCCGCATACATCACTTCCTGGTCGAAACAATAGTTCTTATACAGCATAGAATCGAGGTTTTGGATTGGGGAAAACGTGAAAGGGACGAAGGACAAGGGTGGGTATTTGCAAGTGTCGTGAACAAGAATGGAGTGCCTTGTGTGGTTGGAAATGGAGCAGCTGAGGTTCAAAGAGACGAAGAAAGGGGACGAGATTAAGGTACGCCAGTGGGTACATACGCACCTGAACCGGAGAAGGGATTTGACGGGGAGTCTTGAGAGGATCTCCACCATAACTGGTTCCGGGAAGCAAGACTTGCTCGGATTTCGCGTAAGAGACATTTTTCAGTCGGCTGTGTGGGTAGAGAGAGCGTCTGTCTGTTTAGAGGGGAGAGGCCAGAGCCAGGTGCCAATTAAAATACATATTTTATAAGCTTTTGAGACCCATTTTGGTGGGAAGAAATGAAACACTTTTGCTAGTGGTACATCGAAGTGTACGTAATGATGTACACCCCGCTCATATGGGCGAGATACCTATTCGAATAAAATATTCTTTTTTTTTCACATGGGTCACACACCCATGTGATAGGAGTGTACACTCCATTATGTACTACTAAACAAATTCAGAAATGAATAGTGTATTGATGAAAAATGTGTGGTTAAAAAATAATGAAAATTTTTGAATTTTAGTGTAATATTATTTTATTGAAGATTGTATGTTAAAATGATATTAAAACAATGTTGAAAAATTCATTTTTTTCCAAAGAATGGAATTCAAACAAGGGCTAAGTGCTAATTACTTGAGTAGTTACTTAATTTTGCCAAATATTAGGACTTAATAATTGAACTTAAAGAGTATTTTAATGGTTACTGAACTTTTTTAAGTATTACTATTTTTAAAACTAAACTTGAAAATATATCTCAATAATTACTGAACTATGCATCGTGTTACACATTCATCACTCAAGTGGAAAAATTTATTAGATTCCACAAACGACATCGACTTAAGTGATAGATGGATAGAACAGTTCATAATTCAATGATCATTGAGATATACTTTTAAGTTCAGCTGTTAAGTAGTATAATTTGACTTGGTTCAATGATCATTTAGATATATTTTTAAGTTCGGTTATTAAGTAATAACACTCAGTATAATGCAGTGATCATCGAGATATATTTTTTAATTCAATTATGAAGTCCCTCAAATCAATCTCTATAAAAGAAGAAATCAAAAGGGAGGGGGGAATGGAGGAAACAGAAAATCGAAAAAGAAAATAGAACTTTTATGATGTCCATTCTGAAGCAAATGGATGACATTAGTCTTCAACTGAAAATTTTGCTACCCAAGTGGAAGATATACGACGCTAAATTAGCTTTGAATAATTTGCGGAATTATTATATCTCGACTAACATTTTCCCTTCATTGACAACTATCACTTCATTCACTTGAATTACCAGATTGTTCAATTCATTGGCCATTTCTTGTAGCTATTTTTGGTCTTTTTGTTTTTGTGTATTTTTCACTTCTCTTTGCCTACTGTGAAAAGTACGTTTGATTTTTGAATCAACTGATATTAGTTCATCATATCTCAAGTTTCACATAAAAAGATTGAAAGAGAGATAGTAGGAACACTGAAATAACTCGATAGAAAAAAATTTAATAAAAGAACAAAATTTTTCGAATTAGTGTCGATGTAACTAAGGTCGAATTGATTTTTCATACATTTCCCTTTATGTTCTTTAGTTTTTTCTTTCATAGATGTCCAATTTGAGAAAAAAAAAAGAAAAGAAATTGTTACTACATAATAATTGAATTTAAAAATATATACCAATGGTCACTGAACTATGCACAGTGTTACTCATCTATTACTCAAGTCGACACCGTTTGTTTGACCTAACAAATTTTTACATTTGAGTAACGGATGAGTAACACTGTGCATAGTTCAATAACCTTTGTCATACATTTTTAAGTTCAATTATGAACTAGTAATACCTGATAAAGTTAAATGATCGTTGAGATATATTTATAAAGTAGTAACTCTTAACAAAGTTTAGTAACCATTCAAGTAGTTAAACCTATTTTATAATTATACTAAAAATATTTTATAAATATAGTACTACTCTAATTAAAAAGAGAGTGGGAGAGGGAGAAGGAAAGAGAGAACAAATTACACGATCTACAACAAAAAATTTAATGATTATTCTATATGTACACCAGGGTTCATACCTTGGTGTACATAATGTTCAAGTGATATTTCATTTTTTACTAATAAAAAAAGCTATTTTTCCATCGACCAATCATGAAATGTCACTTGAATATTACGTACACAAAAGTGTAAACCCTAATGTACCACAGCAGAATTCAAAATTTAAAGCACCTCGCACTCTGTTCTCTGTGTGTGCAAATATAAAGAAAGAAGAGTTGCTGCCTCTACTTTATTTTATATCATAACTTTCTATTTTAATTATTTATAATTATCTATATTTTATTTTTTATTTTCTTTGAAAGAATTCATTAACAAAAACAAAAAATGCCCACATATTCAAAATTTCAATTGACAAAGATATCCAATTTTATCACTTAAAAAAAGGTAAAATTCAACCACATGCATTCGTGAATGCACAAGTAAAGCCAATGAGGAGAAAGAAGAAACCGATGAGGTTAATTTCAATTTGAAGTTCTACTATACAAGTTAGGGTTTGAATTTGTGGTGTGCATGAAAGAGAGGAAAGAACAATAGTGGGGTGTTGGGGTTATTTATATCATTTTAGTTACGATTATTTTAGTAAATATAAAAAATTTGTTGGTACAAAAAAAAAAAAATTGCAATGAAAATATAGTTACATTTACAAAAATAAGCTAGAAATGAAAAAGACGTTCATACCCTTCCAATTATAAAGAAAATTTCACACAATAATACAGTTCAAATTTCAAACAAATCAAGAGGGTGTTTGGTAGGAATTTTTATGTGAAAATGCATTTTTGAATAGTAAATTGATGAGAAATGTGTGGTTGAAAAATAAGAAAAAGTTTTGATTTACGTGTAATATTATTTTAATAAAGAATGTGTGGTTGAAAAGAAGAGACAGAAAAATGCATTTTGATAAAAATGGGTGCCAAACAGAGCCCAATTGTTTTTTCATTCTTCATTGAATTTTCTCCTCCAACACTAAAATCTATTTTATCCACTACCACCACCACTCTCACTCTCACTCTCACTCTCACTCATCCCTTACCTTCTCTTCCACATTGCTACCGCCATCAAAGGAAGAGGAATTAGACTTATCAGAGCGAGTACACATTTTTGTCCTCTGAAAAAATAGACCGAGTTCTCCATGGCTTATTATGTCATTAACTATTCCAGACTTCATATTTGGAAAGTAATAAACCTAAAAATTTTCAAGAAACAAATGATCATATTATGCAAGTATACATGCACATAAAATGTTTGATGTTATGCTTAAGCGAATTTATTTTTATCACACTTTGTAGAGTATAACAAGACAATATACTTCGATATAAACATACGAGTTTTTTGACAGCACAGATCACCTCTTTGATTTGTCAAAATAAGTACTTCTATGTTGTATTAGACTGATTATGAGACATGAAGTCATGTCCCACAATTCAAGATTGGGTATTATAGTGGGTCAACTTATGGTACTTTTGGATATAAATTGTCCAGAGATCTTTCAATCGCACAATTTTAAAAATGTTGGGATCTTCATTGCTATAATTTAAAGGTTTAAGCGTTTTCAAAAGGTTAGGGACCTCCACTGCAATTATTCCCTCGGAAGATAATTAAAGGGTAGAGTCCACTAAAAACTCAATTCAAATAGAAGCCCTTGAATTCAATCTAATACAAACCCTAGAGAGAGGGAATGGAGAAAGAAGGGGAACAATTGAATGCATCGAAGAAGAGGGTGGTGGTGGAGTCATTGGGATGGATAACGGAATCCTCAATCATGCCCAGAAAGCATCGGGCTATCGAGGGCGTCGGGCCCTCCTCAATCCTCGAGCTCAAGGCGCAACTCTACAAGTCACAAGAAGAATCCAAGCGCCAATCGAAAGAACCCATTCATTCTGCAGATAATCTGTACGGTCACCATCTTGAGGTCCACCGCGCCAGGAAGAAAATCTCCGCTCATGATCCCTTCTCGCAAAAGAACTCCGGTGTAGATGCCCGTGCATCCAAGTACGTAAAATTATCTTTTTATCCATGTTAATTTGGATATCGCTGCAATGAGTAATTTATTATTTGATTGGAATTTACAACTGTGTGTATGGAGGGATAACTATTTGCTATATGGAGTTTTGTAAGATTGCATGTTAAGGTTCTGGGGTTTGACTTGCAAAGTAAATAGAATTGCAGCAAATAGACTGAAGCTACTTTTATTACTCATATGCTTCAACCCTGGAAGGCGTATATTTATTGCCCAACTAGCTATGCAATTTTAGTCACTTTGTGGATGTTAAAAGCAGTTTTTGAAATAGATTTTGATTGTGTAAATTACTTGAAAGCTACTTATGCTACACTTACAGTAATGGAAGCAATGAGAGGTCATGGATTTACAAGTTTGGTGGATTTGAAATCTTAAGTCCTAACAAATCCCCGAAATCCCAGCCACCATCCTTGCTGGGAATAAAAACCTCATATGGCACGTCATTACCTGAAGATTACCAAAAATCTGGACAATTGAGGCTTCGATGTTTACCATTGAAAGCAAACATTCTTCGGTTAAATGTAGTGTTTTACTTGCATGTCCAGGAAAAGGAGGTGGAGGAAGAGTCTGCACATAATTAACTCTCTGTTGGTTTAATTGATATTCTGGTGCCGAAATTAGATGAATAATAGCTATTTGGTCTATTTCAGAGACAAGCTTGAGCTAAAAGCTGTCAATGACGGGTCAGCAAGTTATGCAGCTTTAGAGAGAAAAGCAGAGTTATACAATAAGCTGGTGAGGGGTGAGCTTTCTGACGAGGAAGACAGTGAGAAGTACTGTGTTGATTTTTTCCGGAAGGGTATTGAACATGATGAGCCCCAATTGCCTCAAGGGCATGATACTGATACACATGAAATTCGAAATGAAGCTGGTGACTATGATGATTCTCTGCCCAATACAAAAGCCACGGGGCTTGGCAGGACAGATGCTACAGTAGACAGGAGTGAACATAAGCGTTTTGTGATGTAAGTTCTCTCCCCTACGTATTTTATGTGCTGTCTATTGCATGGATTTACTGAGTTAGTTTTCCTTTTTCTGTGTTGCATTCCCTTCCTTCTTATATTGAGGTTAAGCAAACTAATAATAGGTCATCTCCTGGAAAATTCAGATCATTTGATCATGAATACTTAATATCCAGGACAATTCCTCACCTCTAGGTAGTAGTATGTAATTTCCATTATTAGGAGATGTTTTCCCCCAAGGATAACCAGTGCATATTATGCCTCACTGGACAATGGCTCTAATCTCCTCCTTGCACTTATTTTTTAGGAGTTTCCTTATAGGATTGATTATTGGAGATGACTCAGGAGAGAGTGGAGTGAGGAAACAGAAAGTGCGTGCAAATGCCTTCTTTTGGCATATGTGTTGAAATTTGAAATTTATTTATGAAACAAAATTTATCCAATCATTCCTTCTCAGGGAAGTTCATGAAGAAGTAAATCTAGCAAGGGAAAACATGTCTCAACTCAAGATGCGCAGACAAGAACAGATTGCTGCTCGTCGAGAGAAATTAAAGCAGACCTACCTCCGCAAGCAGCTCGAGAAATTGAAAGCATCCAAAACAGACCAAACCTAATGCAATGTGAATGTCTTTGTCCTTCTTTGGAAATTTTATTATAAGAATCTCATTAGTTTTATCAGCACATGCCTCTGAAATTTTTTTCCCTCCATATATCCCAACTGCAGTTTGGTCATGTAAGTTTTGGTCTATATAAATTCCCTTCTGTAGTACTCGAATTACTATCATCAATGGAAGTGTCATATGGTAATTTCCCGCAGAAAGTTGGGCGTTAATCACACAATTGAGCCTCCTTTGAAAGACTGTTTTGCCATGCTTGGTACGAAGGACGGGAGAGTAACAGAGAAGAAAAAGAAGTTTAAACCTTCTAACCTTAACTAGCACTGTGTACCAAACACCCACAATGTCAATAAACAGTGCATATGCACAGGAATTGTAGGTGAGATAATCTGTGGACTTGAAATGTATTGCATGTACATCTGGAAATGGGGAATAAACTGATTATTGGTCAAGAATGGTACTGTATTTATCCCCCCGCCCTCTTCTCAAGTTTTAGAAATTATGCTATGGTTTTCGAATTGTGCTGTTGTTTAGCAAGTTTTCAAGGCAACTTACTGTCTCAGTACAATATAATTGCAAGTTATAACCGTGAATTTGAGTAATGTTGACCAGGACTGGTCTTGTTTAGCACCAATTTAGGTGGTGGTTCAATGAAATTAAGACACATTTAGCCCATCTTAAAAATTAAAATTAGATTCTAATCTAAATTAAAGAGAGCAATTATTTTAACTACACATTTTATATGATTTCCATTTAATTTGTGGAGAAGATTTAATTTTGTATGATTTTTGGTTTTAGAAATGTCATTGAGAAAAAAATTCCAAAAAACATAACCAAGACAATGGCTTTGACAAATTTATTTAAATTTTAATATAAATGCATTAAAAATAAGTTCATTTCAAGATTTGATTTGTTACCTCTCGAAGTTTCTATGGTCATATAAAATATTCTTTAACTTGAGCCCAAGGCCTACCCTGACGATAAAGAAGAAAGATCAGGCTCAAGGTCCATCTTGAAAGCAAGCAATGAGAGAGACATGACTCATACTTGGATTATCCAATCCTCTAAGATATCATTCACTTTCCAAAGCTAGAAGTGCTAGAAAGGAGTCAAGAGTGAAGTCAGTCAAGAATGACCTAAGTTCTTTTCAAGATTTGATTTGTTACCAAGTCGTCGTTTAGTTTAACTAAAGCTGATAAAAATGGAGGTCAAATAAGCGCTAATACAAAAGTTACTCATAACTTAACTGTACCTGCTTATTTTTAACCCTAGACAGTAGACATGAAAAAAATTTCTTGGAGGTAAATAAACTAAAAATAAGGCTATTTTTGGATAGTTATAAGGTAATTTATAACTTTTCTAGAGAAAATGAAAATTATTTTGAATCTCATATTCATAATTCCAATATCCTAATTATTATTCATTTAGACAAACTACTCATTCTCCTTAAACTACTCATAAATTTACCAAAACACAAACTCCTTTTAAACATCATCACGCTCATTTGTAATACAGTCAGAACTACAACTGGCAACCATGCACCGAAACAAAAGCAACGTGTCCATAATCTACTTCTTACCACCCCAACCAGGTCCACCACCTTCTTCCTCCTCCTCCACCTCCACCTCCACCTCCACCTCCGCCACCTCCTCCTCCTCCCCTCTCTTTTTTACCTCCACATCCGCTACATCCTCGTCCTCCTCCCCTTTCTCTTTCAAACTGAAAGACAACGACTCCCGCCGTATCAAGAACCTTCCTGTAGGTGGAACCCACAAGTTGAGCCACCCCTGGGGCCTCCCGGAGTCCCTCCAAACCTGCACCGTCAAGCACTGAATCGGATTATCTAGAGGCTCCGCCTCATCACCACCCTTCAACACGTCGCATAGCAAGATTCTAGCGCTCCCCACAGGCTTCTCCCATTTGATATGAGAGTGAGCATATATATCCACGTTCAAAGCCGCCATGACGTCATTTTCAGGCAGCCCCTCGTGGAACTTCACCTTAACCACCTCGTTCCACGTCGGATTGGTTTCGCCGTGCTCATCAATATGGGTCCTCGCCACGTGAACATCCCTCTCCACGTAAACCTCGGCGTACGTTTTCATCTTCGTTAGGTGCTTCACGTTCTTTAAGTCTTGGGCGGAATATATTAGAACTTCTATCTCTCTCAGCCGAGCGGACAGCGGCTTTCTTGGCCGGAAATTGGGTTTACTCATCCTGAGCCACAGTGGACGACGGTGAATGTCTCCTAGAAATAGGTTAATTTTATGGTGAAGTGTAAATTTAGAGCAACGAACAGCTAGATGATAAATTATAAATGCATTTTCAATTTCAGCATTTATTTATTTCCTCTCTTCTAAAATATTCAGGAATTTATTAATTTCTTCCACAATTAATTTAAAACGGCCCTTTAAATTGAAGGAACGTTGTATTACGTTTATTGTTTGGTCACAAAGAAGTTTTGTTCAGAAATAAAGAAACATATTTGTATTTTTAAGCTTAGCTTCTTGTTCCATAATAAATAAATTAGTCCAATTTATTACGAGTTTAGCATATTAGATGGATGAAATTGACACACTTCTTTATTAATCAACTTATGAGAATAAAATTTTATGAGAATTTAGGCGAACTAACATAGGTTTATTGCCGGAAATTTGGATAAAATAAGGATGTAGCAATGCTTGAATTCATATATTAGTGTGACAAAGAGATTATTTAGTTCACCTCTCTCGTTGGAGCTTTACCTTCTTATACATAACTTGCCACCCTGGTCTCGAAAGGAGAGATTTGATTGGCTGGAGGGTACGTTTTCAATGGCATATCATTGTACTTAAGTTTTAGTCCTTCACTTTAGGTCATCATGATATTTTCTATTGGTGGTTGTGGGAGGTGTTGCTGCTTGGGAAAACCCCTTTTAGTCATGACTTTATAATGTTTATACATGACGTCTTCCATAGGCTGACCTGTATGGATAGGGTCTTGGATCGACCTTCCCCGCGGACCAATTTTTGAAGATAGTTCATCCAGATTTTGGGCTAATTGTTGAATATTTGTTCAAAATCAATGGAATGATAATGGACTAATTGTTGGACTTAATTGTGGAATTGGTAGAATAAAAAGAAATTGAAAAATGAAAAATTTAATTTTTCCCTATGCGTACGCACATGCTTATTTTTATGCGTACGCGAGATGTGCTTTGGCAAAATTAGAATTGATTTTGCTTCTACTATGCGTACGCACGGTTTACGCATAGTGTTAAAAAATAGCCGTTAGCTGATTTTTCAATTTGAAACTTGGGAGTCGTTTTGGATTAAAAGTTGTCACTTTTCATCTTGTTTTGGCACCATTTCGTGATGTATTGATTAAGGCCTATAAATAGGTCATGAATGATCAATACAAACATTATTACAAACAAGAAATACATACATTGTTCCACAATTAATCAAATCCATGCTATAATTCATATTCATTTCTTCTTTATTGTGTTCATCAAGTTTTAGCGAAAAATTTCTCGTACTTTATTATTTTCTGCATCAAGGCTTGTTAAAATCCTTCAAACCATTTGCCATAACACCCTTAAGTATCTGGAGATGGGGGCAAATATAGTTTGAAAACAACGATCCTGTGTTCAAGCCTCAAATTCGTTCTTGACGTATTTCGTGATTTCTATTCATTTTCTTTCTATAATTTTGTTGTTGTTTCTTCTCCTACCCCTTATTTTCCAACAATCTCAAACTATAATTTTCGATGGAGAATGATACAACTATGGCAACCGTCAAACTCATGAATTAAGATCTGGTTAAATTGGATCGTTTTGACAGGACTAACTTTACCCGGTGGCAAGACAAGTTGAAATTCCTCCTAACGACGTTGAAGATTTTTTTATATTCTTGATCCAAATTTGGTGCCTTTGCCAGAACCAACAAATTGAGAATCCGAATCAATCAAAACTGAGAGACAAAAATGCTAAGAAGATGAATTGATTTGCCGTGGCCACATCTTGAATGAATTGTCGGATCGTTTGTATGATCTATACAACAATACAACTTCGGCGAAAGAAATTTGGGAAGCATCGAAAAGTAAGTACAAGGCGGAAGAAGAAGGTACAAAGAAATTTTTGATTTCTAAGTATTTTGATTTTAAATTCTTAGAAAATATCCCTCTTCTTTTCCAAGTGCATGAATTGCAAGTGATTGTCAACAAATTAAAGGCGGTAAAAATTGATATACCTGAGACCTTTCAAGTGGAGGCTATAATTGAAAAACTTTTCAGAACTTGGAAAGGATACCGGAAGAAGATCATGCATAGTTCCGAAAATTATTCTTTGGAACAATTGCAAAAGCATCTTCGAATCGAAGATGAGTAGAGAATACGTGATAAAATTGAAAATTCTCATGAGGGCTCTTCTAAAGCAAATGCTGTAGAAAAAATAGAACTGTCGGCAAAATCCAACAAAATGAAGCCTTCTAGGAATTTAACAAGTCCAAGAAAAAGACAAAAAGAGGTTGCTTTGTGTGTGAAAAATCTGGTTAGTATGCCAAGGATTGTAGGCACCGAAAACAAAACAATTTCGAGGCCAAAGTGAATTTCATCCAAGATGACAAAATTGTGGCCACCATAAGTGAAGTAAACGCAATCAAAGAAAATGTTCCTGGGTGGTGGTATGATACTTGTGCTACGATACATGTATCATATGATAAATATTTGTTCAAAACTTATCAAGAAGTGGATGGAGAACAAAAGATTCAAATGGGTAACAAGATGGTGTCTAAGGTGTTTGGAAAATGAAGTGTAGACATTATCTTCACTTCTGGGAAAACTGTTACTCTAACTAATGTACTACATGTTCCGGATATGAATCGGAACCTAGTTAGTGGCAATCTCTTGAGAAAATCAGGCTTCAAATGTGTTTATGAGTCCGGAAAACTTGTACTATCCCTTAATGAGAAATTTGTTGGAAAAGGCTATTTGTGTGAAGGAATTGTCAAATTATGTACCATTGACAATGAAATGAATACAAGTAATTTTGCTTATGTTGTGAATTTATTATGGCATGTTAGATTAGGTCATGTTGGTAGAAATACAATGAAACGCATGAAAAAATATGACTTGATCTCATATGATGAAAATGATGAACATAAATGCAAAATATGTGTAGAATCTAAAATGATTAAAAAACTATATCAAAGTGTTAAGAGAACCTCTAATATTTTAGAATTAATTCATACTGATATATGTGAACTTAATGGTATGTTAACTAGAGGTGGAAATAAATATTTCATAACTTTTATAGATTACTTTTCTAGATATACTTACGTTTATTTGATAAAATATAAAAGTGAAGCCTTTGACATGTTTAAGACATACAAGAATGATGTTGAAAATTATCTAGGAAAGAAAATTAAAATTTTAAGGAGTGATAGAGGTGGTGAATACTTCTCCAATGATTTTAATTTATTTTGTGAACAACATGAAATTATTCATCAATGTTCTGCACCTAGGACACCCGAACAAAACGG